GAGGGCACAGCAAGAGCAAGGCAGGAAAGCATAGACAGGGAGTGGCCCAGGGCCTATCAGAGCATTGTCTGGGCCATGTAAGGTACTTGAATTTTAAGCCACAGGCCAGTATTGTTTAAATTGTATTTGGAGAAATACCTGGTCTGTGTGATAAGTACTCTTACATGGTAAAAGGGTTTCCTGGTCAGCCAAATCTGGGGAAAACTGATTTAATAAACAGTATTTTTGCTGTTCAGTTGGCACCTGTTTTATTGAGCACTGAGCTCAATAAAATAGCCACTGGCCCCTGTGATAGGCAGGGTCCAGTGAGAGGGAGGGTGAGGCAAGCTACACAGAGAGAAACAACACGCATGGTCCCATGCTCATGGGGCTTGCAGCCAATGAGGAACGTAGGAATGAAACAAATGGCCACAGGTGATTTGTTAAGAATTTATGAGTAAGAAAAGTCCCAGAAAGGAGACTGTGTTAGAGGGTATAGGATAGAGTGGCTAATAAGAATTAACATCCTTTCAGCCCATGCCATGAGTCAGATATTGGACTAAGGGGTTCACAGTCATTATGACATTTTAACAAAGCTAATCGAAGGCAATATGCTAATGTGCTTTTTGCATTTCCTAGTGTTGGACATGATACTAGGGCACTTTCCGAGTGGATCTGACCACAGGACTGTCCCCCCTCCCCCCAGAGCATCCTTTCTATTGTGTGGTAGTTTCAGCATGGGGAGCCACTGAAGGGTTCTCATCTGGGGAGAGAGAATGTTGGGTTTAATGTTCCAAATGGTAGAAAACATTTACTTTGTAATCCTGGTGACTCAAAAAGGGGCCAGAAACTTTAGAAAGAATTTAAGTGTCCTCAATCTTGCCAGTGAGTAAAAATTACCTTTACTTTTCAAAATACTGACCTCTTAAATCTGAGTTTCCTGGAAAACGGTCTGTATTTTTTAAGAGCTCCTGAATACGTGGGGAACTGGTAAAACTGTTTGCCTCTGGAGACAGGAGGAAAACACCTCATTGTCAAGTTGTGAGCCATGGTTATGCATTCCTTAATAGAAATAAAAAAGTGTAAATGTAAAAAAATCTCTGTGGGTAATCCAGATGTCCTCAGGATTGAGAGCCACTGTAGAGTTGAACAGTGGATTAAGAGAGTCACATGAGAGAAGTAATTAAAATTTTCTATTATAAGTAAGGTGTGATAGAATAGATTTGATCATTTCGAGGTTATTAACCTTAAAGAAAACAACTTTCCAGTGATGGGGTAGAAAAGTCAGACCATGAGTTGTTAAGGAGACAGAAAAAGGGGGAGCAGAGGCCAAACACTGTCAGCTGTCTCCGGTGGGCAGCAGCAGCAGGGCGGGCTCTTGGACCCATGGCCCTCTACTCCCTAGCTGACTAACTGTGGCGTTGGGATGCCCCTCTGTTCCCCGGGTTCCTTGTTGTAACGCAGGAATAATATCAGTTGCCTTAGAGGGTGACTGGGAATAGCCCCCAAATGAGCTGACTGAGATGGGCCTGCAAGTCCACTTGAGTAGACTCATCCCATTTGACCCAGGAAGGGGGCGGGCACACTCTATCGGGGGTCTGGAAAAGAATATGTGGAGTCAAGCTTGAAAAAGCTTCTTGAGTCCTAATTGTTCACTTTCTTAAGAAGGAGAGCAGTGGTGTTCAATCCCCTCAGACCCAATGTCCCTTCATACAAATACTTGACTACCCTGAAATGAGATTCGTAGATGAAATAACCTATCTACATACATTAAAAATAATATAATGCCCAAGCTATTGTATGTAGGATAAATTAAAGTAGGTTGCCATTAAATTTGCGATTTTCCATGTGAATAATTGTGCATGGTTCTATCCATAGCACCGTGAGGTACACAGGCGCTGATGTCTGTATGGACAATCAGCTTGGATGTGACAGATGGAAACCTGCTTGTCTGTGGTATTATATTAGCAACTATATCAAACACCATGAACGGCTTTGCTGGTGGTGACTTTCTAAAATGTAAAGAACTTTTGATAAAAGTTCTGAACAAAACAAGTGTACATACATTTCCCCCAATCTACACAGTAGACACATTTTTGGGAAATTCAATGGATATTGAAAACAATGCAGACTCTTGAATACAAGATATTTTGTGTGTATATGGAAAATGGAGTTAGGTTTCTGGCTCAGGTCATTATAAACAGGCTTTTCATTGAGACGACCGTCCACTGGAACACAGAAAGTTCCATGGCACTCAGGGCAGCCCTTTGTGCCGGCGCTATCCTGTGCCCTGCAGGACCTCTGCCCCAGTTGGCTGTCCACTCACTCTGCTCATGCTGGCAACCAGGAAACCCCACACACACTTCCAACATGCCCACCAGGGGGTGGCACTGTCCCCTTTGAGAACCACTGCAGTGGGACATGTGACTATAATTGCATTCTACCTTGGGAGACGCACACTGAGTGCTCATTGAGTAGAATGATTAAGAATCTTGCAGATCCTCACAGCCATGATTTTGAACTTTAGTTCACACTGTGGACAGGCTGGGGATATAAATGGAAGCTCTAGAAAGGGAAAGCCAGATGTTTTAGTCTTTCAAGCCTAACCCAGTTCCTTGGAAGTAGCTCCCTTTTAATGCTACATACCAGTGATTTTAAACCTTTTTCTCTTATGATACACATAAACTAATAACTACAATTCTGTGGCACACCAAAAAATATAATTCTTGCCGAGCTGACAAAAAAAAGGCATAATCTTGATTAATTCACACCAGACAGCTATTGTTGTGTTTGCTGTTATTTTTTAATGTGACAGTCTAAGGGAAAAGAGGTCAGTGACCCTGACTAAATAAATAGTTGGGTATTGCATGTTTTAAAAATTCATGGGGCACATTAGTTGAAAATCACTGCTATGTAGAGAAAGAACATGTAAAGACTTAGACCCATGTTTGGCTAATAATAAGAGCTGAATAAATGTTAGTCACTAGTATGGTTACTCATCAGAGCAGGAAGAACACCTGCGGGGAGGTGATGCTGGGATCTCTGACACATGCCAGTGTCGATTTGATTGGCAAAGGTGGCTGGAGATTGTCATTAAGATTAAAAAATAAAGAAAGATTCCATCAAAGACTCCGTAAGTGGGTGGCACAGATCATACTCTCTTGCTGTTTTCTTTCCCCCTGAAAAGAGAATGTAAGATCAGGTATGACTCTATTGTTGATAGTTTAAGCTATTGCTTACATCAGCAAAAACTACTCATACTGGGATGATGGTTCAGTTAGGGGTTTATTTATTCTCCACATACAAATACTCAGAGACATGTAAAGAACATGTCTCTTATATACTTTATATACTTTTTGGTTGTTGTAAATGATCTGTGCATCTGTAAACTTGGAAAGAGAAATATAGTTCTCTTGGAACGTGGAGAATTTCAGCTACAGAGGCATTCTTAGCTCTAATAAGAGTGAGTAATTGACAGAATGTGGAAAAAATGAGGAAGTAGTTTAAAGAGGTGGTTCTTGTTTTTCTTGAGTAAAGCATCTATAAAATGCAAAAGAAAATGATTGGACTGTGGAGTCAAGAATTCATGAAGCCAACATTTTGCAATAACATCCCTTTTAATCTATAAATCTCACGACAGTTTATGGGCACTAATTAAGTTTCACCATACTCATACGTCTCACACTGAGTTTTATTTACTCCCTTTTTACTGAGGCAGACCAAGGCAGAGAATGTTTAAAGAGTTACTTGAAGTTACAAAGCTGAGATTTGAACAGTGCCTGGAGACTCGGGTCCAGAAAGGGAGGAGGCCCACATGGTGGCCTGACAGTTCACCCCTGGCTGATGTTCTGTGGAGCAGGAAGTGATATCCAGCAATTCTGAGAAGGAGAAATAAGCTAGGAATTTGGGGAGGGTCTAGGAGACCATGAGTGGGGACCAGAGATCCCGATGTGCAATGATGGTACAAGTACCTGGTGGCTCTTGCCACCACATTACTGTCTTAGCTTGCCATGTTCCTGAATGGACACATGGGATTACAACTTTTAACAACCACTCTAGGTTCTTCTTGAGAGGTAGGCTTCAGCAGAGTCTGTGGGTGGATGGGGCTTGCAATAGAGGAGTGAGGGGAGTGGTCTGATATTGGTGGACAGAGAGACTAGTCAGTTACCAACCAACGGAGCACTGGGGAGAAAATCAAAGGGCAACAGGCTGTGTTCCTCCTTCTCATTTGCCATCTTGGCCTTCTTTCTTTATTTTTTTAAAATTTTATTTATTGATGAGAGAGAGACAGACAGATGGACAGACATTGATTTGTTCTTCTACTTATTTATGCATTCATTGGTTGATTCTTGTATGTGCCCTCACCGGGGATCAAACCCATAACCTTAGCATACCAGGATGATGATCTAACCTGGCCAGGTTGGCCCCTCTTTAAAAAGAAAGAAAAATAAATAAACAAAAACAAAGCACAGGCTCGGTCTGAGATCAGTTTCAGGTGGCTAATTGGAACAGCTACACCTGAGACATATCCAGGGCCAGACTTGTCCAGGACCCAAAGTAAATCCATCTGGGCCTATCAGAACTTTTGAACTGAGACTAAAATTAATTTAAAGTAATGCACTTTCTCTCTCCATACTACCTGAAGGTGACTTTTTAAAGATGATGCATGCATATTGGAACTATAAGAATCATAAGAGGGGAATGACTGGGAAGTCCCAGCAAAGGCAGGTGCAAATTCTGCGTGCCTAGTAGGGGTCTCACAGGCTCCAAAATTATTATATTTCTGAGGTTAAATCAAATACATAAAAATAGCAGTAAATCATTCATTTCTTCAAAGAGAGTTACATACCAAATTGCAAGGGAATTTATTAGCACATCTAAATCTGAAAAAGAAAAGTTATTATATATTTACAATGTTAAGTTGCAAATAGGAGGCAGAAGACAAAAAAATTCTGTTTGCAATCAGTTTTTATTCCAAATTGCATTTTATTAAAAACAAGTAGTTTACAAAGGGCCTAGTCCATAACTGTAACAGAAAAATAATACAAATCAGAAGTAGGTAAATTATATATTTCCATTAAACAACATTAAAGTAGCTGCAAGTAACAGTTAATACAGCTATATAGACAAGGATGTTTTGTAGATGAGATTATACTTAAAGTCTTGCTCATGCTGTTTAGGAAAAGGTTAAGATAATATTACCTTTACTAAAAAACATACAGCAAAAGTAGTTGAGCTAGTATTCTATCATCCACATTCCAGTAAGCTGCCATATAATGGTAATTGATGTTTATGATTTGAGGGTTATTAAAAGACCCCCAAATGCCTTTTAGGTTATCAAAGAAAGATAACATAGCATTTGATAGTTTTTAAAGCTTTGACATAGCTTTAAAGGTAAGTTATTTGATGGTCCTTTGGGCTTGAAAATTTGGGAAATCACATATGGCATAGAAACATTCTCTTCATCGGAACATGTATTAACCAGAAAAATCCATTCTCTAATCTATTGCACCTTAACAGACAACTTGTGAAAAAGGAAACGTGGCCAGGGCAACACATTTCCTCTTTTTGTAAACCTTAAACTGAGTATGTCTGTCCTCACCAATTATATAGGGTCCCTTGGGCCTCAGAACTTTCCACAAGTGGTTAGGTCTCTATGGTGATGGACCTGGCTGCTGAGGCAGAACACAGGTGACGAGGCGGGGGCCAGGCACTGGGAGACCGTGAGGAGTCTGGCTGCAGAAAACCACGGAGGGGCTTCTTGAGCTTCTAGAGCTGACTGTTCAGCCTTGTTTGGAATTTGCAGAGCCACAGGCAGGCCTGCCCTGACTTCCCACGAGTCCAGCAAAGCAGGCACCACCCACCATCAGGTGGCAGCTTTGGAGGTGGGGGTGCTTTTGATGGCTGCCCATGCGGGGCACTGGTGGCTCCCTCTGGGACCCTGCTTCCGTTGATGCTTGAGATCATCCTTCCTGCGCCCTCAGAGGCTATGATTCAGGTGGAAGGGTTCCATCTTGCCCAGCCCCTTGGTCTCATGCAGCCTTTCAGCATCCCCATTCAAATTACACTCCAGGGTGGCCGGCAGCGCCAGGGGAGGTAAGTCACCACCAGAATCTCTCAGCCTGTAATGGGAATCTCGCTCAACAAGTGGCTGGAGGAAGAACAGCCATGACAAGTCTGGTTGTTGAGTTTGGTCATCATCCTCTGAGGGTGCCCACTTGCCGCTTCCCAGGGGGCACTGGAGGCTTCCCCGGCAGCAGTGATGTCCGGGAGGCTGCATCCTTTTTCCTTGGTTTCCTCCTCCAGGTTGCACGGTCTTGGAGGCCAGTGACCTTTTAAACTCCTCTCTGGCTCCCAGGCACTAGAACATGGCCCAGCACATAGTTGGTCCTCAGTAAATATCTCTTGGTTGAGTGAAGGAATGAGGAAGTGACTGCCAGCATCTGGTCCCATTGCTGAAGCCTGCTTGGGTCTTGGAGTCACAGGCCTGGATTCACAGGCCAGAGCTTTACCTAGCTCTGCCACTTAACTAGCTGGATGGCTGTGAGCAAGTCGCTTAACTTGTCTCTGCCTCATCCCCTGGTCAGTGAAATGGAGATAGTAATAGCTTTAGCATGCTCTCTGAAGTATTTCATCATACTGTCTATATATTTTAGCCATTGTTTTTAACCATCTTAAGGGAGGAAGTGAGGTATCTTCTTAAGAGGGGAAGTGAGATAGTTATGCTATCTTAAGGACCTCTTTTCTCCCTAGGGGAATGCAAAGCACAGGGTCCGAAGGCCTTGAGCTGCACTCTCTCTGCTTGTTCCTGAGTTTGGTGAGGGGGGGGGGCAGTCAGAAGCAGGCACCAAAATTGAGAGAAGAGCAATGCCTGAGGGTATTGGAGGAATGGGACCTGAAAAACTAGCCAGCTTATTCCTGGGAGGGGTCCGTTTCACAGCCAGCTTTACTCACTCCAACCAAAAACCTGACGGTTTGTCAGCGGAGTTGGGAGCTGAGAAAGTGGAAACGATGAAGATCACCATGGTCATCACATTACCCACTTCCCCTACCCTTCAACTACACTCAAGGGTATTAGAGAGAAAGAGTGCAGGAGAGTGAGATACAGGGGTTTGGACGGATGTGGGAGCTGGAAGAGGAAGGAACAGACAGACCACAGAGGAAAGAGATACAGGCAAAAACACTTCTCTCTTAAAAAATGGAACTAAGCTTTTGTGAAAAGACAATTGAAGTGAATCACTGTATGGCAGAAGATCAAATGACAGACTTGCAATGGAACAAGTTTTAAAGCCTCGTCCTTAACACAATTAACCAGACAGACGAGCAGCTGTGTTCTCCCTGCAGCAATGGTCTCCCATTTTCATTTCTGAAGTCCATGACTGGATTATTGCTTTTTCCACTTACCAAACTCGACAAACCTCATTGACTTAGCCTCATTCACTTAGCTGTTTCAAAAGAAGATGTTAAATGATTTTATAATTAAAAAAATAGAAGGGGGTTTAAGAAAATAGAAGGGTAAAAACAATTACCCAAATCTCTTCTGCAACACAAAGTAGAGGGAAATATTAATTTAACATACACATTGCTTAGATATTACATACAGGTGTGCAATGAGTGTCAGATGAATTATCAAGCTTTGATGAACTGTGGCATCTTTCTAAGGAACACGTTTATTTATCTTTATTGTGTTTTTTCCCCCATTACCATTAAGCCCCCTTATACCCTGCTCCCCACAGCAATCACCGCACTGTTGTGTGTGTCCACGAGTCCTTTCTGGAACCCTTTTTGCTCCAGGTACAGTGTAGCAGGGAGAGGCTGCTGGAATCTGCAGGGATCACACCCCAAGAAGCATGTTCAAACCTTTGAAACTGAGTTTGCCTCAGGTTAAGCCAGGAGGCGCCTGTAGCAATGTGTAGTATCAGAGAATGCGAAAGTCAGTTCTGTCTGCAGGGGCAAGGACAGAAAAGGGGTGGGTTCTGCCTTGACTGAGTAAAACATCTCCAGGTAACACAGTGGTTACGGGAGATGTACAACTGGCAAAAAGGAATAAAAATGCTGTTTACTTATCTCTAGCTGGAGAGCAAAATTAGATCATTCTTAAGTGCTTTGAGGTCCTTGGATGAAAGGTGCTTGTAAATACCATACAGTTAATTACAGGGATGTTTATGGTCTTGGAAAACTTACTCAACAATAAGGAAATGGTTAAGGAAAGTATGGCATATCCAATTGATGGAATAGTATTATGTAGCCAACAGAAGTGTTACAAAGAATTGCTACTGACATGGGAAAGTGCTTATTAAGTTAAATGAAAAAGGCATGATTAAAAAAAAAACAACAACCCTGTATCCAATGTGATCTCATTCTATTTAAAGCAATATAGAGGAGGAGAATAACCCACTTAGTGAACAGTCATTACTTCTAAGTAGTAGAATTGTGAGTGACTTTTCTTCTCTGTTTTTTGAACTTCATAAAATGAACATAAAAACTACTATTACTTTTATGAATTCTTTGACATTTGTTGAGGCTTTTGTTATGGCTCAATTTGTGGTTAGGTTTCATAAATGTTCATACATGTCTGAGAAGAAGATATATTCTGTAGGGAACGGTATTCTACGTTATCATTGAGATACAGCTTGTTGATTGCATTGCTGAAATCTGTTTACTTCCCGATTTGTCTGGTTAAGCTGTAAGTTACTGAGGGAGTATGTGAAAATACCTCATAACCTGATAGTGGATTTTGTCTATTTCTCCCTGCAGTTCTGTTAATAAGACAATGCTATTAGGTGCATGTAGGTTAGTATTAGATTTTTCAGGTGAATTTTTAAACATTTAATTAATATTATTACCTTCTTTACTTAAAGCTTTTTGATAGACTTGGACAAATTTCAACCTTTCTGTATGTGTGTTTTAGATGCATCTTTCATAAAAATTATGTTTAAATCTAGTCTGACAATCTTTCTCTTTTAACTGGGTCATTTAATCCATTTAGATTTATTGTCATTACTGGTGTACTTTGATTTTTTCTATCACGTTTTTTGCTGTCTACTTATCCTGTCTTTTCCATGGGATTTCACCCTCTTTCTTGATGTTTGTTTTTTTTTTGGATTGATTTTTCTTCCCTTCCATTCTTTTTTCCTCTGCTAGTTTGGAAGTTAAGTCACCTATTTACACTCTCTTCGTGGATACTCCAGAAATTTTAGCACACAGCCTTGAACTTCCCAAAGAGAAGCCAGTGTCTGTGTGTTCTGTCAGAAAAGCGTCAGGCTTTCAGCACACACACTGGCACCCGCTGCACGTTATCTGCTTTTGTTACGTATTTATTTTTTCTTTTAACTCCATAATGATGGTGATAATTTTATTTTAAAATTTAAAAAGAATTTAAATTTAAATTAAATTTAGATATTATTTTATAAAGTCAATATCTTTTTTTTTAACTCCTTAATTCCTCTGCATTTCTGTTTAAATCTCCACTCTTCTATCTGAATTGTTTTCCCTGTCTCAGGTAAATACCTGACCTTTTCCTTAGTGAGGTTCGATTGGTGGTCAGCTCAGCTTTGCGTGCTTCTGAAGTGTCTTTATTTCATACTTACTCTTGAGGGATTTTTGCTCGGTGTAGAGTTCCGTAGTTACGTTCTCTCAGCATATCAACAATATTTCTGTCCTTGCTGTAGAGAAGTTTCGGCCTATCTGTCATTCCTTTGAAGTTAGTCTGTCTTTCCCTCTGGCTACTTCGAAGCTTTGAAGCTTGGGCTTGTCTCAGTGTCTGTGCAGCGTCTCTGTGATGTGTGCAGGTGCGGGCTTCTTCTGATTTTATCTCAATGGGCTTCTGGAATCTGGGGACTGTGGCCTTCATCAATTCTGGAATTTTATCATCTTTTTAGAATGCTACTTCTGACTTATTTCTCTTCTCCTCTTCCTGCAGTTCTGAAAAGGCTTTATGTTAGACATTTGCTATTTATCGTTCATGTTTCTTGACCTCTCTGCATTTGCTATTAAAGACACCTCTCTGTATTATAATCTGTTTTGCAGATCCCTCTCTCTGTTTACTAATTAATTAGCTTTTCGGATGTATCTAATGTACTGTTAGATCTTTCCACTAAGTTTTTTAATTTCAATGATTTTATTTTTTATTTCCAGAAATTCTATTTGATTTTTAAAAATACTACATTGGGCATATTTTAGAGTCCTGGGCTCTTTCTGGTATTTCTCATCCTTTCTTATTTCTTTAAGTATATTATAGATACAGTTTTACATGCTGTCTAAATATCTGAAGTGTTTGGTGGGTCTAATTCTGTTGTCTATTTTTTTTCACTCAAAGTCCCTTGCTGTGTGTGTTATGACTTTTGAGTAACAACACATACTCCTTGAAACTTTATAGGATTCCTTTGAGGTGAGTTCCTCTAAGGTATGTATTTGCTTCTGCCAGCTGCCAAGGGGACAAATACTTGTGACAACATTAAACGTAATTGTTAGGTTAGGATTTTTGAATTTCCTAGGTAGTGTGAATTCAGGCTAAAATTCTCTTGAGGATCACCTTAAAGTTACAAACTCTCAGGGGAGAGATTATAATCCTCCCCTGTCCCATTCGAGTTTCAGGGTTTGAGGTGGTTATTTCCAGTTTATTCTTACACTGAGTGTGGGGTCTTTTGAGGACCGTTCTAGCTGAGCGGTATATTAAATCCCATACCTTGGATGGGCCCAGGGCATTGTTTCCTGTCCTCCTTTGCTCTCCACACACTGTGATGCTGAAGCTCAGGGTCACCAAGTTCTGCAAATGCCCTCAAAGTAAAAGTTTCCTTCTGTCTACTTTCCTCCCTAAGTTCCTCCTTTCAGAGAGGTTTTGTCCTTTGAGTATTTCCAACTTTTTTAAAAAAGCTTTGGCCAGAATTTGTAGTTGTTAGCAGTTAGAGTGGGTGTCTAGTCCACCATCTGAGTGAAACAGCTTAATTACTTTTACAATAATAAAGATGTATCTGTGTATTCATTCTTAGTGATTATTTTATGTTATCCTTCCCCCAAACATGAATTAACTTCTTCACAAATGATCAGTGAGGTTGTTGACTTTTCATAAAGCCTTGAAACAAAGTGGGCAGAAATATTGGAAAGAGAAAATACAGTCTAGTATTATACGACCAGGTCTGTCTTATTCCTAAATTAGATCAGAATTAGGTTATGCCAGTTTTGTGTATCATACAATTATAAATGGGTTTGTTAAGGCAATGCATCGGAAATGCCAGAGAGACTTCACAATAAGCTTCTTCACACATGGCCTCCATGGTCCATACAGGAAACCTCCAGGATACCTTATGCTACAAAGCAACTGAAGTCCACTCCCAGAGCCCCAGGGAAAATGCAGGGTGCTGGGGGTGGGGTGGGGGGGCTGGGCGATACTGGGAGTGTTACCCAACAATCTATCCAAACCTTAATCTGTCATGTCTGTCGATACATTGTAAAATGTACTGGCTAAGATTTCATTAATTTTTTTTCTCCTGCTCATTCTCTGAAGGTGGAATGATAGAGAGTGACTAAAATATGAAAGGAGACTAAAAGTCCCCCAACCAGGTCCTTGATCCCTGTTGCGCGTGGGTCACCGGCCAGCAGTGACCACGGAACGCTGTGGATGGCTCGACAATACGCGAGAAAAAACAACACATGCACAGAGACAAACTAGTTTCTGTGGGGAAGTAGGGACGGAATGGCCACCCCCCCTAGTGGGGAGCGCGCTGATTTACCGTCCATACCTGCTTTTATTAGGCTCATTTTGCATAATAATTCAGGTAAAGTACAGTACTCATTAGGGGAAGTAAGGAACTATAGAAAACAAAGAACTCTGCCAGTCTATTGAGTTGGGGGTCAAAGAGCTGTAAGACTGAGGAACAAACTAACTTCCTCCTAAGACCCTTCTCATTCAACTGAGAGCATTCTAAACAAAGAAGGTTTCACAGTAATTTACATGTTCTTTCTTAGGCCTGATCACCCCGGGAAATCCGCACTTCTCAGTACTGAGCTGTACCACCCTGTCATTGTTTTAGGCTTAGGTGGAGCAAGGGAACTAGGGCAACCAAGAGATAAGGAGATTTTCTCCCAGACGCTGAGAACTCAGGCTATGTCAAAGCCGAGGAGCGAGGGTCCATCACCCCCTTTTTGCTGCAGCCCCCCAAGTCCTTCTTTTGGGGGGGCCTCCCAAAAGTGATCGTGCCTGGCTTAGGTCGTTCCCCCCGTGGGGAATCTTACCCGTCTTTGGCTAACCGACCAAGCTTTTTGGGGTTCAGCAGCAGAAGCAGCATTCCTGCCAGGAAGACAAGCTTTTGTCTCCTTGCTGGCTTACAGTTCCAAGGGCGTTCCCTTAGCCTTAGCTAGGTGGGGGTTTCAGCCTCTGATACCAGTCAGGGAGGTTCCCAACAGATCCCCAAAGTATCACTAACCACCGAGAGCTGCCATCTCCGGAGGCAGTGCCTCCAGGTGCGGGCTCCCGAAGTATCCTGGATTGTCTGACATCCCCCTTACTCTCTTTGGAGTTTGAAGATGTTGCCAGTATAGAGGGAGCCAGGGAAAAGAAGGCGAAGGGTGGGGGATCAACTATAACATACGCTCTGGGAAGAAAAAAAAAAGAACAAAAACAAACCTAGCAGTTCCCTTGACAGGGTTTTTGCTTGGCTCCAAAATTTAGATAGCATTTATGTAGCTGAATGGAGCCTGACTCTCTCCCATTATAGCTGCATTTGTTTGGCTTAAGGTTTTGCTGAGCCTCTCAAATCGGAATTACCTTCGGTCCTGAATTACTTTCTGAGTAGGGGATAGTGAATAAGTGACCGGCCGTCGGAAGTGGTGGTCCTGAGGCAAATGGGAGGACACATTGCTGTCCTCAGCAGCAGCCTCTGCTTGGGCCGGCCAGCTGTTCACAGGCAGATACGTGGACCTTGTGATGCTTTCAAAAGTCAGAAACCAGCATTTTTATGAGATTTCATGATTTTCAGAGTGTTAGTAACTAATCACACATTAAAAAAACACACACACACACAGCCAAACAAAATGCATTTATGGCCTGGATCCTGTCCATGGGTCACCAGTTTGTAACCCTTGTGTTGGACCTTACTATTCACTATACACCCCATTGTGAAAGAATTTATTACATCCTTTGCTGCAGCAGAGCAGGGAGAGGGAGGAGAGAAACGTAGGGCCACTCATGGACGGAGAAGTGGGTGAACTGGGAGAAGACAGCAGCGAAACCTTCATCCTTCTGAGGGGACTGGGCCTTGGGCCGGAAAGACCTATGGCAGCTATGCTGTCCTTCCAACAATAGCTGGATAGGAAAGATCAAGTCAAATCCTAGTTCAGGTTGCTGCTAGTTCCAAATGTGAACGTTTTGAGTCATTCTTTCCAAATGAAATTCATAAAAGAATGTTAAAAATACTTTCAGAGGCACATGCGATAACCCTGAAAGATAAGCAAGTTCATACCATTTGTTTACATAAAACAAACGAAAGCTAGTTTAACAGGTAATTCTTTCCTAGCCATTGGCTCGACAGGTCTCTGAAGACTTCCACCAGGCAAGATTCCATAGTGTTGTTTGTTCCACTCAAGAAAAAAATTTGTAACACATCATTTTAGCATGTTCAGAAAAGACTTTTCACTAAGCCCTGAATATGGGATCTCATTGTGTTGCATTAAATCTGCTCACAAACCTTAGGTGGGCAGCAAATGGGATGATCCCTCCACCCGCCATGGGCTGGTAATCGTTCCGACTTCTTTATAAGCCTATTGAAATATCTCTTTCCCATTTTCACCAAAGGACAGCCTTATCTGCCTCAGGGAGGAAGAGAAACACAGACCACAATGGTGGGGACCCACCGGATAGGCAAAAGCAGCTGCCTTCCAGTGCTGGAGAGGACCGAGCCATGCTGCTTGGGTTCACAATGATGGGCTTCTCAGTTCTAATGTTCTTCTTGTTTGGAATAACCATCCTAAAGCCCTTCATGCTCAGGTAAGAAATAGAGAAAGACAGACCCAGAGTTTCCGATTCAGATGAGATGCAGGCACAATGCGCAGGGGAGGGGAGTCTGGCTTTGGTTTCTGCAGCCCCTCTGACTGGAGCAGAGGACAGGGAAGATAGAATCACTTGTCCCTCCCTCAGTGCGGGAGACAGCTGGGTGTGGAGGAAGAGGTGGTAAGAAAGTGGAGGATATTTCTTTGCTGCTCCCCAACTCCAATCTCAAAAATACTTTCAACAACTAATCCACAAATTAGGTATGCATGTAGGCGATACATCCTTCCTTTAACACACAGGGAAGGTGCAGTGAAGCCTTCTCTACGTGAACACAACAAAAGTTTTTGAGTCTGAGTTCTTTGAGTTTGACAATGTCTACCTGGCCTGTAGTAGTTGCTCAATAAATATTAGTTTTCTTCCTTTTCTTTTAATTAATTTCCTTATTAGATACATGTAATAGTAGTTACCATTTATTAAATAGATAATACATGACAAATATACTATGTTTTATCCTATTTAAACCTACAACAAACCCATGATGGAAGCATTAGTTTAATTTTATAAATGAAAAAGCTGAGGCTCAGACAGGCCAAATAACTCACCAAGGCCACTTAGCCAGGAAAGAATCTGCCTGTCATTCTGACGTAAGATAAGAATTTCCTAATACTTAAATGAAGTTCCCTGCAATGGTGGGGGGGGCGGGGGCGGTGTTTTGATTAGGGCCGGGAGAGGAGCTGTTCAACTTTGGAGAATGGCTCACATAACAGGAAGTACTTTGGGGGAGGGCAGTGCTGGGAAAGCAAGGGCCTGGGGGAATGGGAAAAGGGAGGCCTATGAGTTCAGTGAAAAGAAGTCATAGAAGAGGAAGTGGGTGGCCTACTTGCATTATTTATTAGAGTCATCCCCCACCAATCCTGCATTAACATTATTAGGGTAATGATGTGGAAGTGACCATCCACTATAGCACACAGTGCCACTCTTAGAAGGGTCACGGGGCATTTTCTATTTGGTGTTAGCACCAGAGAATGTTCTGCTGCTGACCAACTTGCTTATGTTTATTCAATGGATACCAGCGATGCGATACCTGGTTGTGTTTCCTTTATTGCTTTTGCTGTTAAGAAGCTCAAAGCCAAGTTTCATTTCTCATAACTATAAGGGATCTTATGATCTGCAGGTTACATGTTTGAACTTCACTCTTGACTTCATTCTAGTTTTCTACTTTCCTTTTCCTGTTATTCTATTTTATCTACCTAATTTCTATCTGATCTGTATTACATATGTCTATGTAAACTGAATAAATATGTGTGTGCACACAGAGTACTTTTTAAAGAATGTGATGTATTTGGGAGATGGTTTAAGGATACTTTTTGCAAATTGGCATCAAGCTGTTGCTCATATTTAAAAAACATTTTCTAAACATTTCTGGAAATTACTTAATTTACTGAATGCTTAAGAGTGGTGAATTGTCATCTCTTGCCTTGCAATCTTGTGTCACCAGAGATAAGCTTCACTCCATAAAAGATGATAGTTAAGAGGCTTAGGTAGCTTATACCTACCCCAACTCCCTTACACCCTCATCTCTCAGTCAAATGATGGATTTTGTCTATTTGTAGACAAATGAACACACAATGCTATTGAAAGTATGCCCATTTTTTTTCAGCCCTAAATACACCCCTGGCTCCACTTGGAAGGCTCTGGCCTGGCCCCTGGGCATAGCAAAGAGTGTCCTGCTCTCTGTATTGAAGCTTCCTGAAATCTTCCAAGACGGTTTGAGTCATCCTCCATTTGTCACTTAGTTAGGATTTAGAGAGCTTAAGTTCTAACACAGATGAGCAGGCAATTCTAAATGTTTTTTTAAGACGCCCAGTCTAAATAAGTAGAGAAACTAATTTTGTGAAAAAGCAGGCCGGTGCTAAACCTGTGAAAGAACTTTATTCTCCATTTTTGCATTTTCACTTGTCCGGCATTGTCTTCTTCTAGGCCACATCCAGTGTTTTTTTTTTATTTTTAATGCCTTAAGATCGTGTTAAACTGCACCATCTGTCTCAGGTTTGTTATATTAAGAAAGCAAAATGATGACTGATGGTCAAAGATCTTAATGAGAGTGCAGTATGAACCTGGCTAAAAATGCTTTTCAAATATTGACTTTAGGATTTGCTACTCTAACTTCTTGTTTTTAAGGCAGCTGGAAATAAACATAGGGACCCACTCTGAGGTGAGTGTGCATCAGGAGCTTGCCTTACACATTCAATCAAAGCACATCCTCTTACCCCCACCTACTTCATCTTGGGCTTGTTCTCTGATTATTTTGCACCTACATGTCCTTTCTCTTCACCACCACCTCAAAGTCTTCATGGGCAGTGATTTTGTCTGCCACTTCTCATTGCTGCTGTGACATTCTGTGTATGTCATACATATGCAAATTCTCAAGGAATGTTTTCTAAGTAAAAGTTAATTCAGTCCAACATCGACTGAGACTTGACTATATGAGAGGCATTGTGCTTTAAGCTTTGAGGAACGTCAAGGTGAATAAGATATAGGTCCTGACCTCAAGACATTACCGAGAGCAAAAACATGGTAAATTTTCTAATGAGAGATTTCTTGCATGATTTGCATTTGCCTGTTTGGAAGCACAGCAGGTAAATGTAAGTGGAATGGTACTTCATTACCAGAACTTTCGGAGGCTGCATTGACTAAGAGTCTTGTGGCTGGACTGTCTGCAAAGGATGCATTTTAGGATGAGGCATGAGAGATCATTATTTCTGAGTGTATGTGAATTTTGTTGACTGCAGGATTTAGGGTAATATCAACCAAAGTATGGTTCTCCAAATACATGTTCCTTTAAAACTGTTCCATAGACAGGGATTCCTGGGCTTTAACTTATATCAAGTGAATCTGAATCTCTGCGAGTGAAGTGTGGAAAACACATTTTAAGAAATTCTTCATTCTAACACTCACTCAGATGATTTTGAAGTTTGAAAACCATTGATCTAAAGGTTGGTGTAGTGAGAAATGTGCCTGGAGGGTCATAACTGAGATGAACTTGGCCTTTGCTGCTCTTTAGCTCCTGCCCCCCATCCTCCATGCTCCCTGGTTATTTATTGTGTGCCTTCTGTGATCGTCGTCCATTACTCAACACAGACAAATGTCCCGGGTTACCACATTAGAAATACAGAACTATGTTTTCCAGAGGGTGAAGATCATTTATTTAATTTTTTCAAATTGAAGCACTCAGAGAGAAGAATCGAACTGCACTATCATCCATACATGTATCACGGATGACTGGTTGGACTGTTCTTTCACCTGTGGTGTGGATTGCCAAGGTCAGGACAAGTACCCTTGTCTTCAGGTGCTTGTGAACCTCACCCATTCAGGTCAGAAAGCTCTCCTGCATTATAATGAAGAGGCCGTCCAGGTAAATTCCAAGGTAATGTTCTAATCACAAAGTTCTGGTTACAGCAACCCTTTCACACCAGGCTGTCCCTTGCACGATGCAATACGCACAGCCATTCCTAGGGATGAATCTGTTTCCTTCCAGTTAATGTTTTGAGAGTGGTCAGATCAGGATAAATGAAGCTAAAAGCATTGCTGGAGGAAAAATGGAGTAAATAGAAACGGGAGACATTATTCCAATTTCACAAACTTGTGTCTGAAATTTACAGGCTGAAGTCATTTCTGGGAAGTCTTACTTTTGGAAGTCCCACTCCCTGTCATATCACAAATGGTAAAAGGCACCACAGTCCACTTTAAATCAAGCAAGTGATTTTTGTCCTCAGAGAAATTTAAAGGAGTACTGTAATTTTGACTTTAGCTAGTTACTCAGCTGGCTCATATAAAGTGTACATCTACATCTATTGATCAAAGCTGAGTTGTATGAGACTACTTGAAATGTGACACTTTGCTGCCTTTACTTAATCACTAATTTTAATCTGATGATTTCTGTTCTCTATTTTGGATGCAATAATTTTTAAGGTCTCCAATATTTTTATAGGCCATTGGCACACTGCCTGGAGTGCCTAGTGGAGGTCATATTAAACCTCAAGCTTTTTTTGAAAAAAGACATCAGCTGATAGAGCTCCCTTATCCCCTGGTTCTGCCTCCCAGGAACCAGAGCCCAGGCAGGGCCCCTCTCTGTGGGCCTAGGACAAAAGTCTCAATATGCTAATCCTTTAAGGAATGATTTTACTACAGGAAATCAAGACAAAGACAATAAGGAGATTGATAGGTGTTGAAAGCACATAGAAAGCTCAACCAATGTTTGTTGAATGTCAAATAGATTGAGTTATTGTCCAGGAAGAGACCCAGTACCCACATGTTAGGAGCGTGGTCCTTATGAGGTTGGTCATTGCCTATTCTGCAATGTCTTTATTCTAAAAATACTTTCCCACATCCCTGCTTCGTGCCTGGGAACGGCCTTTCCACTGTGTGCCCTCCTGACAACCCCTCCCTGTGAGCTAATAGATTTGTTTCATCATCTTCTGAGGCTGAAACTCCCCATCAATAGCTTCGCTTTGAAGCTTTCAGAATTAAAACTGGGAAGTGCTTGATATCAGGAAGAGTGTCCTCATCTTTCTTCTTTCTCCATATTCCTAGTGCTTTTACACACCGAAGTGCCACCAAGATAGGAGTGATTTGCTCAACAGCACCCTGGACATGAAGGAGTTCTTCGATCACAAAAATGGGACCCCCTTTTCATGCTTCTACAGTCCAGACAGCCAATCTAAAGATGTCATTCTCATAAAAAAGTACAGCCAAATGGCTATCTTCCACTGTTTCTTTTGGCCTTCGTTGACTCTGCTGGGTGGTGTCCTGATTGTTGGCATGGTGCGATTAACACAGTACTTGTCCCTGCTGTGTGAACAGTACAGCACTGCATTTAGGGGAGAGATAGGTGGTCAAGTACCTTACAGGGAACAGCATCGATTCAAACTGTGGAGTGTGGGGAGAAGCAAGGGGAGGAGCAGAGAAATCTTAAGGTGGTGGCCAAATTGAAGTCCTGGCCTTCAGACACCTGGGACTTCTGCACTTGATGACTTAATTATACTTGCTTGCAAATTAGCCATGAGAGGCAGTTAAGTACGAGATGGGAATGAAAAAAAAAAAACAACAACCCCTATAAAGTCTCGTATGTATTCTATTTATCTTATAAATACCTACAGATTCACCATCTTTTCTACTCCCAATCTCTTTCCACATGAACCAACTTTTTGTTCTCACGTGGTAAAATGAGCTCAAGGTAGTTGTCCCTCACCTAGTTTCAGCTCTAGCTAGAACTTGTCAATGTGGAAATAAATGATGAGGGTATCTAACCTACTGAGCACTGAACCACCAGTCTAGTTCTATGCAGTATAGTTCACATTCAAATATATCTCAAAAAAATTCCAGATGAAGAGCAGTTCATTCACTAGAGGAAGATAGTAACCTGGTAATCTAAAAACGTGGATCTGCCATTTTACTTCACCCTTCATGGTAGGGGGAAGCCCCTGCCTCGAAAATTCACTAAGTTTAGAGTTATTTGTACCTAACTTGACTATGTACCATGTGATTTTTCTTTCAGCAGTATATTTTTAGTTAATTATGCATTCTGTAAGCTCCTGCTGTTCTTTGTGCACATTCTGGTGAGAGTGGGGGACATGGCTAGAAATGTGTTGTGAAGTAGGGGTAAGCTGTATTGGATGGAATGTAAGATTCATCTCAGGTAATCTGCATTGTAGAAGAGTCTCATGTGGATCCTCAGCAACTGTCCATACATTAATTGAGGAATAAACCGTGGGTATTAAATAATGAAAGTCACAAGACTCTCCCAACAGATTCTTTCCAGATTAAGCTGAATATGAGTTTAAATCCTGTTCTGAAAACCAACATGCTTCAAAGTAGCTTTAAAATTTTACTAAAAAATTACTTCACGGACAACAGAAAGAATGGGACTTGAAGCATCTAAATGTAGTCAAACCAGAAACTTTTATCCTCAGCCAACTTGTTCCTTTTTAGAAATTAATTGTAAGTCACAAGTTACCAAATAAATAGAATAATCAAACTGAGCAACATTGACTTGACCAGTAATGAACAATTTTGGTGTTTTCTCCTCTTTCTGGTGTGGAGTGGCAGAGAGAGCACGTGTCTCAGAGTAAGAGTTACTGGAATTTTTTAGGCCATAATTACAACTTTTCAGAATGTATCCTTGGGCACTTTGGCTGAATTGTTAGAGCCTCTCTTTTCATCTCAGAGGGTTATTTTAGGGAATAAACAAGGTAGAGTATGTGAAACATCTAGTGCAGTTTCTGGCACCCAGTAGAGGTACTTAAAAATGTTAGTAGATAACAAAAATATCCTCCTAAGTTTCAATATTCAGTCAGCTTTATCCTTCTCCTGACTCTATACCCAAAGGAAATGCAATCAGTACCTCCAAAAGACAGCTGCACTCTCACGTTCATGGAAGCATTATTCACAATGGCCAAGATATGGAAATCACTTAAGTGTCCATCAGCAGACTAAAGAAATTGTGGTTCTAGATGTGTAGTGTATGTATATACACATACAAAGGAATATTATTTAGTCTTAAAAAATGAGATCCTATTTGCAACAACACAGATGAACTGGGAGGGTATTAATTAAAATAAGCCAGACACAGAAAGGAGAAAACTGCATTTCACTTGCATACACGTGGAATCTAAAGAAGTCGAATCCATAGAAACAGAGAGAAGTATGGTGGTTATTACCGGTAGGGAGGTGGGGGAGATTCGGTTAAAGGGTACAAACTTTCAGTTATAAGGGGAATAAATCTAGAGATCTAGTATACAGCATGATGACTATAGTTAATATTGTCTCAAATACTGGAAATTTGCTAAGAGTGTAGATTTCAGGCGTTTTCATCACATACACAGTAACTGTGAGATGGTATGTTAATTAGCTGGACTGTAGTAATTTCTACATATATCAAATCATTACATTGTATACCTTAAATACATACAATTCTTATTAAAAAGAAAATGTCCACAACATGCTGTATAAAAGGCTGTGGTAGCACTGGCTGGTGTGGCAGAGTGGATTGCGTGCTGGCCTATGAGCCAAAAGGTCGCTGGTCGGATTCCCTGTCAGGGCAGCTGCCTGTGCTGCGGGCCAGGTCCCTGGTTGGAGTGTGTGTGCAAGAGGCAACTGATGAACGTTTCTCTGGCACATCACTGTTTCTCTCCCTGTTTTTCTCCCTCACTGCCCCCCCCTTCCCAAATTCGTAAATACATACAGTATTTTAAAAAAAGGTTGTGGTAAACTCTTTTGTATACCAAAGACTTCCCTGTAATAAAATATATGCATGTATACAATTTTAAATCATTCTGCAAATTGAGATTCTGTAGTTTTCTTACATTAAGGGTGTATCTCTATTCCATTTCCTAATAAGTTTCGCACCCATCTAACAATATGCAGTTCTCGGGACTTTTCTGCTAAGAAATTCAAAACCACTAATTTGAAACCCAGAATGTGTAAAAGTGTGAAACGTAAAGTGTTGCAATCCTACAGTTTTCCATGAGTATGGTGGCTAGTTGGTTCATGTCAGGAAAGAGAGACATTATGCTTGGAGAACAAAGTCAATTTAGGACAATGTTAATTCAAAGGCACTCAAGTCACTTGACAAATAAAATTTAAGCAATCATTTGCTGTTAATTGCTTAGAAGTACTAAATGTCAATGTCCATGTGCATTGTGGGTCAAAGAAGAGCTCAGACTTACCTTTTGCAAGGCTTATATGAACTTAAAGCAAAACCAGTTTGCTTCTAACCTAACTTCTTTTTTAGGTTCTGTTCTTCAACTAACTTAAATAAAAAAGTCCATTTACACATACAAACACATTTATACATGTATGTGTATACATATATTTCTGCTTAAAATACAAGAATATAAATTTTTATAGTTAAAGGAAGTTAATACTTAAACAGATATTTCTCTGATATTCATCACTTTACTGGGGCAGAAAAACTGGCTTTTAAGGCATAATAGTTTCAGGTTTTCTATCAATGTTTCTTAGTCATTATTGAGAAGAACTCAAATTCAGCTAAAATCTAATTATTAGCAACACTGGTTTGCTTTTAAGCATTCAGAAGACTGCAAAATATAATTACCACGATTTTTTGTTTAAAATATATAGTACACTAAGGATTGTTTGGACACAAGTCAAAGTAATTTTTTTTTTTAATAAACAGCGTGATGTTACAGACTGCGAAGTTAAAGAAAAGGCAGACATTGACAGTTTCTGATGAGCACAAACAGTAAGTGCAGCCGCAGGCCAAACTTCTTGCTAGGAACAGCAAGACTGGGAAGAGGTCTTGAACGTAGTGACACTGTATTATTCTATAGTCTCAGCACAATAACACATGCATCTTGCTGTGTCAAATATCTTTTGGGCCCTCATTAAGTGAACATTTAAAAACACTTTTCTCCTAACTAATACAGTACACCACAGGACTTCAGTTCATTGAATGACAAAATATAGAGAAATAGATTTGCTACAGTAAATGGGGCTAAAAAGGGTGGTGGGAACTACTTTTTAAAATTTCCAAAGTCAACATTCGCCGTGTTAGTAGTCTTTTGGTTGTGCCACAATTCCCAAGATGTTAAAAGTGTTATGTTCCAACAGGATATATTCTTTTAGATTTCATTCAACCTGATTAAGTTGAAGGACTGAATCACATAAACCACTGATTGCATTTGAAACTTAGGTTCACCAAAGACATTTCTAGAAGTCAGATGAAGGCCAACTTCTCCAACCACTGTGTTCTTAGGAACATAAATGAAGTATGGTAAGGGGCTTTTCTTGTGAAATCAATGGTAATGATCATATTTAGAAATTTACACTGGAATTAACAAGTTTAGTCTTATTAAAGATATTTTGAGAAAATACCAAAGTTGGTTTTCTTCCTCCTTGCTAACCTAGAAGAATTAACAAAAATAAGAATCATATAAACATGTACATGGCTCTTAGCATAACCATAATATTATTGTAGTGGCAGATGAAATACGATTTGATAAATTCGTAGACTTAAATATCTCACAAAATGCATAAAAAAAGCCCCTTTCCATATTGACCAACATGAGAAACGGAGTCTATGGTTGGTAGTGAGTCAGTTACCCAACTACGCTAAATGTACAAGAAAATTTCCTTATGGCTCATAACTGTCACTTTATGCTAGCTAGCATGGCTGTAATGTTAACATACCTAAAATATGAACACAGCTAAGCAAAAGGAATGGTGCTGCACTGATAAAAAGAAGTGCAAAACTTGAATCAAGTGGAATACTTGAGTGAAATAAGCATATTTAAAAACTAACATCCCAACTTGGGAAACTCCTAGTAAATTCTAAACTCTTCTGAATTTTAGAACCTTGATGTTTACACCTTTTATAAAAGATGCCTCTTGACTAGAGCTAGCAAGCAGTGTGTATACAAATAGAAATGTGTGCAAATACACACACACTAATTTTACTAATGATCAAGAAAAGAGAACACAACTAATTTCAAATATCGAATTCAAGAACCTAGTACCATGAACCTCCTAGCACTATTGCCTTTTTGAAATGGCTGGAGAAATAATCAAATTTTTAACCAAATTTTTTTCTTAATGTCTCCAAAGCCATTAACAAGAAGGCATGCCAACCATGACTTTGTAAATCTAAAATACAGTGCTTTACAAATTTCTGTAATATCAGAGCCTGAAGTACTGAATTGTGACTCATCTATTTTTTTCCTTATTAACCTTCTGAGGTAGAGTTACCAATCCGATTTTATCAGGACCATAGGTATCTTGAGCTAACCACTAAATGCTTTTCAGAAAGTGAACACAACTTCTAATAGAAAAGAAAAAAGGCTTCCCAGGCCATGGCACATAAGATACATGTACAATCTTTAATGTAATAATTAAAAAAATGGTTTGTGTTTATATTTAAAAAACAAACAGCCCAGCTGTATTATTCTGTCACCAAGAATTATTATCTGAGTATCCTGTCAGTGCTGAAGTGTTTAGTTCAGCCTTCATAATCCCATCCTCGATGAAGAGATGATTCCCTCGTGGTATGCACAATATACTCTCACATCTTTGAGTCTTCTCTAGCGCCCAATCTGAGCAGGATATTAAGAATGTAATTCATTCAAACAACTCTTCCCTGTTTTGCTCCCTCCCTCCACATTCCCCTCTTCTCAATTACATCTGAAGTATGAAAGTTGTTTTTAAATAGTAGAAGCACCACAATCCATTAACACCACATATGGCCTTTAAACTGAAATACTATAGTGATGTCTTGGATGTCAAAATCAATTTTTTAAGGTGGATTCTGAGTGTGTGGGTCCAGCCCAGGTCTGCTGTTGGTGCAGACACGGAAACAAAAGAAACATAACATTCAGAAAAAGTTAACCTGCTGGCTTTAAAATAATGCTAGAAATTAAATTTCTTCAAAGAGCTGGCAAGCATGGGCTGTTGGTCAAGATATGAATTAAATGGATTTACAAAATCATTAAGAAACAAATCCAAGTTTATATGCTATGAAATTTCCATAGTGCCTTTAGAATAGATAGGCTGCTCATAATTTTTTTATAATGCCAAATCACGCACCTTTTGATGGAAAAAAAAAATACAGATGGACTGTGTTTTACCTATGTGAAAATTACCAATCCATTTAAAATAAAATCTAAGAGGGTATATACATTCTAATCAAGTCATTGATTATTTTCCTGATTAATAAGAACTACACTTTACACAAAATACTTTATCAGCAGCTGTTTTCATCAAAAAACCAATAGTCATAGTTTCACAGTTGAAAAAGTTACACATTAAAATATTTTACAATTCATTGTATATTCACCAGGTTCCCATTTCCTAAAGGGCTTATAATATAAAGCAGAGTAGAAGGGAAAACCTCAAAGTTGATTACTTTGACACTAAGTTTTACACAGGACACAAAGAACCACAAAAAGCTTAGGTTCTACCATAAAATAGATACCAAGTTCCATTCTTGATTAAAAATTCCAATTAGAAACATCTTTTGTTTAAAAAAAATCCACAATATGATTAACAGATTCAAATTAACAACAGTCTCAAAATCTTTAAAATAAACAATTTTGTATAGCTGAGAATACAACAAAAAGTTAAAGCATGATTTTCAAACAGTTATTTCTTCCTAGATGTGTTTAAAATTAGGTTTTACTTTCTTTAAACCTGTTTTCTACCCCCTCCAAAATAGTCATTGACGGAAATATTGCTGAAGTGACTAAATGAAATTGTAGAGCCGACAGTCAGTTACAGCACATTCAGTGACGGATGGTTGGCCATAGGAACTGATCAATCGGAACTGATCTCTGATACTAAAGTACCTTGAAGTGACTACACTGTCACTGATTTGAAACATACCCCGGTCACCCATGCGGCATCTAATTCAGTTTTTGGTTCTTTGCCTTCTGAGAACTACTTGTCCCTTTTTTCTTATTTTTAATGCTGTTTGCTTAAACTCTGCTTAGATTTATTTAAAATTTACTTTGCTTTTAGCTAGACCACTTAATCTATATTCTTTATAAAATTTGTCTACACTTCTCAGACAGACTTAATTTGGTTGTAATAACTCTTGAAAATAAATGTCAATGATTAAACAAAGTATGTGGCATGTGTTTTAATGGTGGAGAAGTCCCCTAGGGAATAGTCCCCTAGGGAAAGGGGACTATCTGAACTGATGTGGAAAATGCTAAAACTGTATCAATTTTATGCAAGGAAGCGCACAGATTTTTTGGCACTCGGGTAAAACATGGTTCTCTGTTAAAACTTCAGTTTCCACCATTGAAGTTTCAGATTTGTACCATTTCACTGAATTTTCCTGTAATTAATCCCTGATATAGAAGAGACTGGGATGCCAGTATGTATCATAACTGAATAGATCTAAGACACAAAATGTTAATCATGAAGTTTTAATAAGTTATGAATCTTTTATATCTGCAAAGGAATCCATTAGTTTCTTGCTTAAAACAGTTTAAATTCCTCTTAACCATTCCAAAACAGTTTAGAGAAATAAATTCTCCTAATCTTCAAATTTATTTTTCTTGTTGGCAATATTATATACATGCTTTAATGAAGTACCTAAATCTCCGGTAATTATGCCCTTTAAGGGATCTAAAATAGCCAAATATTAAGAATATTTGTATTAGAGTCCTTCTTCACTATTCAAGACTTTTACTATAGGTAACTGATTTAATAAATGAAAATTTTTTTAAGTGATGCTGTTTCACTAGAGAATACAATGTGCACTCTTT